GGTATTTATTTAAAAAAGAGGAAAGCAACTCTTGCTGTAGATATATTTTATTTAAATCAATCTTCTAATGTATTTTGTTGACAATATTTCTGACGTATCTTTTTTTTTTACATGATGTCTCTGTTCAATCAATATGAACAAGTTATCAACGTCGTTTTTTTCGAAGCCGTTTAAAAGACAAGACAAGAACTTCCAGAATTTCGATATTAGCACTGGTGACTGCAATTCATCGATAGTTTCACGGACGATGTTACGACGCATTCGATTTTTTCCGCTTCTCTCATGTTCAGTCAAGTTCTTCCAAACCTCGTGAATAATGATTTATGACAAGTTTTTGGAAAAACAGAATCATCTACGTAGAAATAAAGAAAATACTACAGATGTAGGACATTTATTAGCAAAAACGGACTATACAAAGACAGAGTGTGGGTACGGATCAAAGATTTTCACACCCATACCAAAAATGGCTATGCTGAAGTTATTTCTTATAGACAACTTTGTATAATTATAAGGTTTCTTCTTCTAAAAAGATCGACATTGCGCTGGTTTGATGCATGCTATCCATATAAATAAATCTACTCAGATTCATCTTGCTAGACAAACACCTGCATGAGGACATCAAGTCGATTACAGTCTACAAGCTGAGTCGGATGTGGGTGTGGTGTGAGTGTGTGGCTGTGAGTGACGGCGTGGGCGTGTGGATATGGGTGTAGTTCTTCTCTTCTGTCACACCCACACTCCGCATCCACAGCTCACATTGACACCCATAGTCACACCCGCAAGGAATCTTGAGCACTTCGAATAAATCTATGATAAATTACGATGTTATTTGATGATTTGACTTTGTTCAGTAACATATATTAATGTTAAAGTGGGCTGAAAGAATTAATTATGGGTAATATGATGAAACTTGACTTAATAGAATAGTTGGATATATGGTCCCTCGTGAAAATAATCTTGAATGTCAGTAAAAAGTGTGAGATTTGAAAAAAATAATTTTTAAGACCAATTGTTAAAAGAGTACAAATGCTCGAAAAAGTCCACGTTGGTCGATAACAAATCCTGTACGTAACAGGATTGCTGTTGATCGATTTTTACTGTTACTGTTTGCAATTGTTGAGTCACAAACGTCTGTGCACTCGCATACCCACAATTTATTTAATTGTTGAGAAATTTTTTTTGAGCTTGATGCGATCTATTCAAGTTTGCGTCACGTAAAATGAAATTTGCACAAAACTAAACATTTCATATCGTTCTAGAAGGATTGTTTAGCTTGATTGATTATTCAAAAATATTCGTACTCTGAATCATTTAATATGATTCATATTTAAAAGACTGTTTTCACTTCATCTTCAACTCAAATATGTTTTTATTAATATCAAAGTTTTTTTTTTCATGAAATGAATCAATGTTTTATTTTTATTTTGTGCAAAAAAACACTCTCTTATTACTAATTTGGTTAAGATAAATAAGTGAAGAAGATTAAATTAAATGGCGAAATTTGTCTAATAAATTCTTGTATTAGATATCAGCTTGTCAGGTATTGGTGTTAATGTGTATTGCTATGCATCGGAAGAAGATCCACACTTACCCACATCCAACTCCTGCATCAAGTGTCGTTAGGAGAGAAAGTCGTATAACTTGATGGTTGTAAACATTAAGTAGCATGAAAAATTTGACTTGTTTTGCTTTTTCTGTGTGTTCGCGACGCATTCTTTTCTTTTTCTTTCATTGCTCGCTCGATCAATATAGACATAACAGCTTACTATCGCAATTTGTATAAAGATATCGTTTTTACCTTAGCAATAAAAGGAAGGTAAGGAACTCCTTTCAAAAGTTGTTGTAGCTGCCTTGCAATTTGGAAAAAAATTCAAAATTTTCGAATTGTATTTAAAGATTAGAAGGAAAGAAAAAGTTGAATGTGATGCTAAGAAAGTCGTGAAAAATAGAAAATAATTTCACAAGATTTTTCAATGAATAAATTCTGCTGTACAATATAATAACTTAAGAGCCAAAGGAATTTGTTTTCATTTTCCTTTTTTTCATTTGTTCTATTACTCGTTCTTTTCTTTTTTCAGCTTGCTTATCAGCAAGGAAGACGTAAAAGCCATTTCTTAGAGAATAGTGGTAAAGACTGATCGTATCTTATACACAAAACGAATTCAAACGTAAGATGTATGCCACTGAACGCTTTTTTGACGGTAATCAAGAGACTCTACAAGAACTACCACCTGTGGAAGATTATGAAAAACAACCGTTGATGACACTTGAAGAAGCAATCAAACAACTTGAACCATTAATAAATAACTGTGAAGTGATGGCGTTGACGGCCAAACGTATAATGTCTCATCCTGCATGTGATCTTACTTCGGATGAGGCAGCTGCCATCCATCTTTATACTATGCCGTCTTCGAAAGCGGATCGACATGTTTCTATTCAACTGAACAGGGCACTTCGCTCTAGAGAAGGAAATGAGCTCGTTCCATGGCTTTCCTATCTCCAACTCTTTATTTCTACTTTGAAAAAATTACCATCGGTGATTGGTACGATTTGGCGCTATGCACGAGGTGATGTTAGTGCAGATTATCAAAATGATTGTGTTTGGTCAGGATTCAGCTCATGCATAGGAGCCAAGTCAGTACTTGTAGGATCTCTTGATAAAGGTAATGTCTACACTATTTTCGAAATTGAATGCATCAATGGCAAATCAATTCGCAATTATTCTGAATGCGCGAATGAGGACGAAGTTATTTTGATGCCTGGTACACATTTAAAAGTGATCAAGAAAGAAGATCTAGGTAATGGACTTAAAAAAGTTTATTTACAAGAAGAAAACTCTCAACAACACCCGTTGATTGACTCTCTGAGTTCATCATCGACGACGAAGGAAAAATATCGAACAGACCAAGATATCAATGCGACTACAATGCAATCAATCAGGAAAATACCATCAGCGCAACTATCTAGTAAGATTTTTCTAGGATTAAGGAATATTTTCTTGACAATAAGCCACGTCATTTTAAACGAAATAGAAATTTTAGGTTATTCAGACACAAATCAGAATCAAAGCAGGAAAAAATTTCAAAAGTTGGAATAAAAGTAAACTTTTTTCATTCCCCCTCAACTTATCTGACAGAAGAAGATATATTTGGAGTAAGAGCTGATTTTCAAGGATACGATTGTTGATTTGAGTTATTCATTTGAACAAAATGAATCATTAGCTTATAGAAAATAGTAAAAGAATCGTGCAATTCAGTTAGTCATAAAAAAGTCGAAATGAAAAATAGAGAAAAGTGTCGAAAAATTACTATAAAATAGGAAAACTACGGAATGGATGAATATAGAAGAGAAAAATGTTTAAAAGAATTTATGTGTCAAAAAT